CACCCCCAACATCCCCAGCTCCCATGTGCCACAGTTCCCTGGGGGTGTCGTGGTCTCCCATGGGTGCCCCCAGAACCCTGTGGGTGTGGATTTGGGGGCCCACTCCCCGCTCCCCCCCCCCTCTGGGGCTGTGGGTGCTCAGTAAGCACATTGTCACAGTGCCCCAGGGTGGGTGCCAGGTCCCCACTGCCCCCTGTGGGGGGGACATAGGTGTGGGTGGGCACCCATGGGTGTCATTGGGTGGGTACCCATAGAGATGTGGGTGGGCACCCGAGGGTGTCAGTGGGAAACTGTGGCTGTGGGTGGGCAGCCACGGGTGGCAGCAGGTTCCGGGTGCCCACGTGTGTCGGTGACACCCATGGGTGCTGACACTCCGTGCTGCTGCAGCGGGAGGTGCGGGCGCAGGCGCTGCGCTGCGATGCTGAGTACCGGGTGCTGAGGCTGCCATACCGGGTGCGGCCCCCCCATTACCCCAGCCAGAGTCTGCAGGTGAGGGGGGGACCCACGGGAGTGGGGGTGGGGGGCAGAGATGGGGCTGTGGGGAGTGTGGGGGGCTGGGGGTGGTCCCACGTTGAGCCCACGGGTGATGCTATGCGAGGCTGGGGCTCTGGGGTGGGGGTGGGAGCCCACGGGTGATGCTGGAGGTGATGCTGGGGGGGACCCTACAGATGGCACTGTGGGGTGATCCCACAAATGACACTTTGGGGGATGCCGTGGAGCGACCCCATGGGTGACATTGGGGTTGACGCTGTGGGGTGACGCTCCATGGGGTGACCCTACAAGGTGACGCTATGGGTGGCCCAATGGGTGACGCTGTGCTATGACCCCATGGATGACACTGGGGATGATGCGTGTGGGGTGGTGATGCTGTGGGGTGATGCTGTGGGGTGGTGACCCCCACGGGTGTCTCTCTGGGCTGCAGGTGGTGACGGGGTTGCAGTGGGCGCGTGCTGAGAGCAGTGCAGGGGTCCCGGTGTGGGTGGTGGTGCTGGCGGTGCTGCTGGGGCTGCTGCTGCTCGCCCTGCTCAGCTACGGCCTCTACAAGGTGGGTCTGGGGGTGTTGAGGGGGGGATAAAGGGAGCAGAGGATATGGGGTCGTGGGGGGCAGCAGGGGACATGGGTGGCATAGGGGTTGCGGGGTCTCCAAGAGGCATGGGGGATTTTGGAGGACATGGGGGATGTGGGGCCATGGGGGAATATGTGGGTGGCACATGTGGGGATGTGGGGGATGCAGGGATACGGGAGACCCCAGGGTAAATGGTGGCATGAGGGGACGTGGGGTCTCCAAGGGACATGGGGGACGCAGGGGCATGGGAAAGCGCAGGGGATGTGGGGGGCACAGGGGACACGGGAGGATTTGGGGGACATAGGGGGATGGGAGACCCCAGGATATGGGGTCTCCCAAGTGTCAGGAAGGAACATGGGGGATACGGGGGCAGGGAAGACCCCAGGGTGGCACGGGGGTCTGCAAGCAACACCAGGGGATGCACAGTGGGTGGCAGAGGGGATGTGGGGACACAGGTCACCCCCTGACCCCCCCCTTATGCCACCCAGCTGGGCTTCTTCAAGCGCTCGGTGCCCTATGGCACAGCCATGGAGAAGGCACAGCTGAAGCCCCAGGCGGCCTCGGAGGCCTAAAGGGGTCCCCGCACCGCCGGCGTCACCCGGACGGCGCCGTCACACCGGGCACGGCTACAGCGGGTGCCAACAGCTGGGACAGATGGCAGCACCGGAGCGGGAGCACCGAACCCGGCGGCACCGCTGGATGGCACCGGGGTGGGCACCACCGGCACGAGTGGCAGCGCCAGAGCTGTTCCTGTTGGGCACCGCCGCCGTGCAGGGGACGATGCTGCCATGGGTGATGGCACCGTGATGGGCAGCGCTGCGCCCACAGCGGCACCGCGATGGGGGTCACCGTGATGGCACTGCTGTGCCAACGCTGTCACCGTGATGGGTATCACTGCCATGGCACTGCTGTGCCAACGCTGTCACCGTGATGGACGTCACCGTGATGGCACTGCTGTGCCAACACTGTCACCATGATGGGTACCAACATCATGGCGCTGCTGTGCCAACACTGTCACCACGATGAGCATCACCATGATGGCACCACTGTGCCAACACTGTCACCGTGATGGACGTCACTGTGATGGCACTGCTGTGCCTACAGTGTCACCGTGATGGGTACCAACATCATGGCGCTGCTGTGCCAACACTGTCACCACGATGAGCATCACCATGATGGCATCACTGTACCAACACTGTCACCCTGATGGACATCACCATGATGGCACCACTGTGCCTACAGTGTCACCGTGATGGATGTCACTGTGACGGCACCGCTGTGCCAAGACTGTCACCATGATGGGCATCACCATGACAGCAGTACTGCGCCAACAGCGTCACAGTGATGGGTGTCACCACAACAGCACTGCTGTACCTCTACCACCACCATGATGGGCATCACCATGACGACACCACTCTACCAACCCTGTCACCGTGACGGATTGGCACCGCGACGGCACCGCTGTGCCACCCCGTGTTCACCACAATGGATGTCACCACGACGGCACTGCTGTACCAACCCTGTCACCATGCTGGATGTCACCACGATGGCACTGCTGTGCCAAATCTGTCCCCGCATCACCCCGGACCACCCCGGACTGTTGTCACAGTGCCACGCTCTGCACTGCTGGTGCCCCCCAGCGCGGGCACCTCACTTTGCACTGAGCCCGCGCCCCTCATTTTTGGG